TATTTAGAAAGATGCAACATTTCTGGCTTTGAAGATAGATGAAGAGGACCATGAGCTAAGGAATGTATGTGGCCTCTAGAAAGTAGAAAAGAGTCCTCAAAGCTGAGATCCATGTTGGTTTTCTGGCCTATAGAACTGTAAGATAATGAATCTATGTTGCTTGAATCCATTGAATCTGTGGTAACTTGCTCTCCCTGAAAATGGAAACCACTGCACTATATACACTGACCTATAATTTGTTAGTCAGTTTTTGTGCCTTGATTTGAAACCTGTTTCAGAAGAGAATACAATAATTCAACAAATAGTTATTCACTGCACAAATTCTTGCCAAGCTCCTCCAAAAGATAGAAAAAGGACAGAAAATGTCCTAACTCACAATACAAGGTCAATATTACCACGATAAAACAGCCAGACAGGTACATCAGAAGAAAAAAATTACAGATCAATATGTTATGGATATAGATACAAAAATACTCAATAAAATATTATTCAATTAAATCCGGTAGTGTATTATAAAGATTTTTTCTTGGTTAAGTGCTTTCCTAAATTGCAAAGGTGGTTAAATATAACAAAATGATGCAATCAGTCTATTCCACAGTAGTATAATCTAGGGGAAAATACCCATATGTCTATCTTAGCTGAGATAGAAACCTAACTTCATACAAACACCATTTCAAAATAAAAACACGTGGCAACCTAGAAATAGAAGGGAAATTCGTTAACATGGTTAAAATGATTTATGAAATATCCAAAACACTATAATCAGTGATGGGAGACAGTTGGATGTGGTGGTGCATATTTATACTCCCAGCTACTTGGGAGACTAAAGTGGGAGTTCGAGGTCAACTTGGGCCAACTAGGAATACCTGTCTCAAAGTAAAAAGGGCTGGTGATGTACCTCAGTGGCAGAGCATTTGCTTAGCATGTGCATAGCTCTAGGCTGAATCCCAAGTAGCAGAAAAAAGTGTAAGATTGATAAGTTTTCCCTTGGCTGGAAGTGGTGGCACACGCCTATAATCTTAGCGCTCAGGAGTCTGAGGCAGGATTGTCATGAGTTTGAGGCCAACCTGGGCTACATAGTGAGTTCAAGGCTAACCTGAACTACATGGTAAGATCCTGTCAAAAAAAAAAAAAAAAAAAAAAAGGAAAAAGAAAAAAAATAAAGAAAAGTTTTCCCTTAATCTCAAGAAGACTAGGATGGCTGCTTTACTGCTTTCATCATTTTTTTTTTGAGACAGGACCTTGTTATGTAGCTAACACGGCCTTGAACTCATTGGGTAGCTTTATCTGGCCTTGAACTTGTGGAGATTCTCTTGCCTCAGGTTCCCAAGTGCTGGGATTAGAGATGTGTACCACTACACCTAGCATTTTATTCAAATTGTACTGGAAATCACAGTTAGAGAAATTAGACAAGAAGAAGAAATAGAAGACATTGACATTTGGAAGAGAAAGTAAAATTTTCATATGCTTGAGTTATGTAGAAAACCTTTAAGAGTTCACAAAACACTATTAAAGCTAATAAATTAATCCAGTGAAATTACAGAATATAAGTTCAATATACAAAAATCAGTTGTTTATATATACTAGCACTGAACAATCTGGAATAAATTAACAAAACAATTTATCCAAAGCAGCATTACAAAGAATAAAATACGTAGGAATACATTTTAAAAAGAAGATGCAAGACTTGCAAAGTGAAAATTATAAAATCTTACTGAAAGATATAAAAAAGATGACCTAAACAAATGGAAAGACGTCCTATGTCTATGAATTGGAAGATTTAGTATTAAATTGTGATTCTAAAAAACTAAAAATAAAAATAAATTGTGATTCTACTCAAAGTTATCTGTTGGTTTAATGCCATCCCTATCAATATTTCAGTAGCTGTTTCTGCAGAAAAGCACAAACCAAACCTAATATTCATATTGAATTGGCAGGGATCTTGAATGACCAAAACAATTCTGAAAAAGAATAACATCAGAGGGCTCACTATTTCTAATTATCAACATTTTGTGTTAGTGGTATAAGGATATTGTACTACATTAATAGAGATCAGTGAAATACTTAAGTGTAAAGAAATAAACTGATAAATTTATTAATGGGTATGTACCCTCAATATTGAAAACAGGTGCTCAAATGAAAAGGGAATGTTTACTGTAACATTTGAAGATGTAGAGTACCAATATGTGTTACCCCAAAATACGCCACTTTCATATATACTATTTGCAGTTAAAGAAATGGGAGATGGAAGAAGGACAGTCTAAACTTCCTTTTTCTTCCTGAAAGGAGGAAGAAAGATATTTTAATTACAGTGATACCTTGGTATTTGACTGCTTTCAAACATCTGGAGTTTGTTACAGGACACATTTTGACAAGAACATTTTGTCCTGATATTCAATGTTTATTTGGTACTCAACATGCAAGGAGAACTTGTGGGTGTCAATTGCCTCACGACTCACTAGCAATATAATTTGTTTGGTACTCTTTGGAACAAATTGTAAATTAGTACAGAGGTACCACTGTACTAGAGCTGGGATGTAGAGGCCAAGTGAGACCTCAATAACCAACCCTTCTCTTCTTAGTGACTTTTCCAAAACTAACTGTCCTAGCTCAAATCTCATTATATCATATTTTCCTGAGTTACTACTGTTTCTCCAATCTACTACCTACATAAATTGTCATAACTCCTTCCACGGGTATTCATTTTTCATTTGCCATGTTCCATGCCCAGGTAAAAATTACTAAATGAAATACGTATTCTTTTAGCCTGTTACTCTGTGGGATGTAAGATACCATAAGAGGGTAGAGGAAAAATACTGCCTCCTCTACAGTCAAAAAACCCCAACTGGCCATCAAGTGATGAGTGCATTCCCCGAAGGTGGCCTCTCCTAACACAAGGGGGCACCTATTACGCAGGCCCGAGAAGGGGTGAAGTGGTGTGGTCTGTGCAGTGTGCCACGTGGAGGAGGAGCCGCTATCGGGGAGTTCCTTTAACCGGCTCGCCAGTCAAGAGTATTCCAGGTCCTTCTTGCCTTCAATGACGAGACAAGCCAAAGACGGTGCCAAAAAGTCTGTTTAAAAAGTGAGGGGTCAACGGGTATGGGAGAGACCAGCTCTGCAGAGCGAACTTGGGCAGCAGAACAAGAGAAAAGGAAGAGAAAAGCAAACATAAAAGTGCACGCTGCGTCTGAGAAACACAGCGTGGGCTACCGTGGGAAGTCACGCTAGCAAGCTTCCCATGGAGTCCGGTCTTCTTTTACGCCATCCACATCTCGTGGGAGCTCGCAAGAACTACACGCGGGGCTCTGGCGTTGCCCTGGGATCTTGTAATTGACAGGTTCCACCCATTCTCCCATCCAGCTTTGCCACACCCTATCTCCTATATCAGAACCACAGTGCTAAGTAGAAGCAGCCCAACGCAAAAGGCCACATGCTTTCACCCTGTAGGCTTCCACCCACTGGAACTGTCCCGGCACAGGCCATCCTCTCTGGGAAGACAACGGGAACGTGAGTGGCTGCCAGGGCCCACTGAGAGAGGCCGAGAGGGTCCAGCCAGGAGGCCTAGAGGCCTAAAGGCCAGCCTGGGCCTAGATCCGGACAAGGCCTGGAGGACAGCCTGGGTCTGGACCTGGACACACGCCGGAGGCCACCTGGGGCCTGGGCCTGCATTGGATTAGATTTGGACGTGGCCTGGAGGCAGCCCTGGGCCTGAACTTGGACACGGGCCGCAGGCCAGCGGAGGCGTTAGACATGGACACTGGCTGTGGGCCAGCCTGGGCCTGGACTACACTCAGAAGTGACCCGGAGGCTGGGCTGGGCCTGGACAAGACTTAGACACAGCCAGGAGGCTGTGGACTTGGATATGGCCCAGAGACCAGCCTGAGCCTGGACTGCACTTACACGGCACCCGCAAGCTGGCCGGAGCCTGGAGGCCTGTCTGGGACTGGACAGGATGCGGATGACAGGCCAGCCTGAGCTGGGTGTGGACGAGGCCCCGAAGGCATCTAGCCCCTGGAGGCCGACCTAGGACTGGACATGATGCAGACCAGAGGCCACCGTGGGCCTGGAGACCAGCCTGGGCCTGGATGTGGATGTGGCCGGAGGCCGGCCTGGGCCTGAGGGCGGCCTGGCACCGGAAGGGATGCAGACCAGAGGCCTGGGCCTGGACTTGGGCGTGGCACCGGACGGGATGCAGACCAGAGGCCTGGGCCTGGACTTGGGCGCAGTCCGGAGGCCAGCCCAGGCCTAGACACGGACACGGCCTGGACCTGGCCTGGGCCAGGGCTAGATTTAGACACGGCCTAGAGGTCAGCCTGGGACTGGACGTGGACACGGCCCAGAGGCCGGCCTGGACCTGAGGGCAGCCTGGCACTAGACATGATGTGGGCCAGAGTCCAGGCCTGGGCCTGGACTTGGGCTCAGTCCGGGGGCCAGCCCTAGGCCTAGACATGGACACTGCTGGAGGCCAGCCTGGGCCAGCACTAGACTTCGACATGGCCTGGAGGCCAGCCTGGGACTGCTCGGGGCCGCGGCCCGGAGGCCAGCCAGCTCCTGCAGGCCAGCCTGGGACTGGACAGGATGCGGACCAGAGCCCAGCACGGGCCCGGAGGCCAGCTTGGGCCTGCACAGCCCAGAGGCCGGCCTGGGGCCAGAGGCCAGACTGAGCCTGGAGGCCGGCCTAGGACGGGACGCGGGGGACGCGGATGAGGCCCGGAGGCAGCCCTGGGTCCCCGCCCGGGCCTGGAATGGTCCCAGAGGCGTCCTAAGCGGTTGCCTTCCTGTGGGGCAGTGCATGCAGCAGAGCGGGGAGGTCAGCCCACCCCCCACTGCGTGTCCCACCAAGGCGCAGCAGCTCGGCCACAAAGTAACGACCCTGCAGGAGCGGCGGCGGCGGCCAGAAAGTACCGGCCCTGCAGGAGCAGCGGCGGCCACAAAGTAACGACCCTGCGGGAGCGGCCCTGTGCAGGTGCGCGCCACGTAACTGGGGTGTGCGGGGGGGGGGGGGGGTCGCGAGACAGTCCAGAGTTCCCGCGAGGCAGCGCGAATTCGCGCGCCAGAACGAGAAGCCCGCCAGCCACCGGCCTGCCGGCGCGTGGTGTGCAGCCCGCCAGCGGCGCGTGGTGTGGAGCCCCCACCCCGTGCCCAGCCCAACGGACGGCCGGGGTCGCTAGGAGACGGAGCAACATCCGCAGACAGCGCCCGGAGCGGACAGACGCCGGGGCCGAGGCGCAGCGGCTTAGCAGCCCTCAGGCGGAGCGTGGCCATGGAGCGGAGGAGCCGAGCCCAGCGGCGCCGAGCGGAGCCGAGCCCGTCCTTCAGCGAGCCAGCAGGAGCCGAGCTGGAGGTGCAGGAGGCGGAGGAGGCGGAGGTCGTGGAGGTCGTGGAGGTCGTGGAGGTGGTGGAGATGGAGGAGGCGGAGGCGGAGGCCGAGGCGGAGGCGGAGGCGGAGGCCGG